TACATACATACATACATACATACATACGTACGTACATACATACATACTTGCATACGTACATACATACATACAAACATACATACATATGTACATGCACAGTCCATGTGCCTGTTGTTTGTCTCTTGATTTGTTTTAACAATAGACTGATAAACTAAGAAAAATGAAAATATTTTTTGATGGATGGATCATCAGCAGCACAAAATATCTACATTAGCTTGTATGGTCCAGTATAGTCATTTTGCTGCAGTAGTGTGATAGTTTGGCTCCTGTTGTGTTAAAACAGCACATGCAATTAGACAGAGCAGAATAAAACAATTGTGTCTGTTTTTTTGTCAGCACCATTGGACAACAAAAGCTTTCTAAACATCTGGATGTTCTGGTCAAGGTTGCACATCTACACACACGCGAGTACAAATAATCTCCACTTCATTCTGCCATGGACACGTTGAGCTGCTAATAAATAGTGACAACATTAAGTACTGGCAAACAGTGTAGTGTAACAGTGATAAATGTTATCAGACTTTAGCAGGTGCTCGGTCAGTCTCTATACACAGACAGGATTATGTTTACAGGCTCTTTCTCTGCTTGAGGCATTGTGAGGGGATTGTGACGCTGTGCAGCTCCTCCTAGAAAAAAAAAACAGGACATTAGAGTCTGACTAAAGACATTTAAGGGATCTGACTCTTCTGTGAACTGTCTGCTGGGAACATCTCTGTTTAGAATAATGCTCCTGGTATACCGAACATGCTCATATGATTTGGCTTGGCGACAAAAATATCATGCAAGTCCTGTGCCTTCCTAATCTATAACTTAGTCAAGATCCACTGCCTTCCCTAAATGATCAGGTAGACTTTACTTTTTCATCAAACAGGTGTCCTCTATCGTTTCTCTGCAAAAGTCCTGTTCAATAACAGCATTTTCAACAAGACATTTTGAAACATTTTCCTTTTGCCTCAACATTGTTGCATATTCAGTTGTATAGGTAATAACTAAGTTTGTGTTCATTTAATCAATCCTCAAAAAAAAAAAAAATCAGGCCTGCATCCACTTACAATGTGCAGCACATGTTTTTTATTTGTTTCATTCACATGTTCTCAGTGTTGTAGTCGCCAAGCAAATGGCATTAGTTATGTGCAAGTGCAAACATGCAGTTATAGAGGGTGTGAGCAATTTGCACGTTTTTCTGTATCAGATCGAAATCATTCGTAGTACGCAATATGACCATTAAACACAAACAGCAGGAACAAAAGTGGCAGAGAGGAAAATATTTTCACACGATGAGTCTTTTACAGATGAAAAACAGAGGCAATGTTGCATCATCAGCTCATTTTATCAAAGAGGAGTTTTCTTTATTGATCATCACTGTATCATTTTAATTTCCATGTCCGTAATTTCTATTCCGGACCACTAGACTGATTTGTCAGTCAGACCCTTCGTCCCACTCTCCCCAGCAGGGCAGTTGGGGTCTCCCATTATAACTTTGTAGCAATAAATTTACTCTGAGTTCTGTTTATGTGAATGTGAGGCACAATCAAAAGAGCAGAGGTGGTGTAGAGGTAGGGCAGCTGACTTGGAACCAGAAAGTCGCAGACTCAACTCCCCACCATGCCCACAAGTCGTGGTGTCCCTAAGCAAGACACCCAATCCCAAATTGCTCCCCGGGTGCTTACATGGCTGCCCACTGCTCCACCTGGTGCATCTCACACATGATGGGCTAAATACAGAGAACTAATTTCATCATCGTATAAAAACATACAATGATGACAACACAGAAAAAAAATAGTTGAAATGTTCTATAATTTTAACATTTTGTCTTCTAACTCTAAAACATAAACCCAACAATAGGCTTTTACAGTTTTATCAACATGTATTTGTAGAATAAACAATGTTTAACACTGCTAAGTAGATTGTGATGTAACACTGCTACATCTGTGATGTAGCTGTTGTTGTTCTGTTTGTTTGTTTTTAAATATCATTTTCTTCCATTGATTTTTAAATTTATATGTTTTCTTTTATGATTGTCTCCTGTTGTCATCATTCTTTGTTAACATCAGGTCTCTCTTGTAAATGAGTCCTCAAAGCTCAATGAGACTAAAGCCCTATTCGCACGGGATTAGTTTTACCTCAAGGCCATGTGTAATAAATAAATTACTCCCCGACGTCTACGTTTTATGTGGCGCATTCGCATGGGATAACCAAAGCCTGCGATTTAGCTGAAATTTACGGACATCTTCCAGATATGATGTTGACATGCTGCGTTGTCCATACAATGTGCCTAATGTGCGGGCTGGGCCGGTCTCAGCCGTGGTTTTAGGAATCAGAACTAAACTGATTTTGTACAAAGTGTTTAATAGATCGTGTGTGTGAAATTTACACTGTGAGTTCTTACCCTGTGTCGCTCTGTGGCATGAAAACGTCTACTGCAGTAACTATTTAAAGTTATTAGTAGCTTAGAATTCTTTTTTGCCTTAATTTTGGTCGATAA